AGTTGATTTATTTGGAACTAGAAAAAAATACATCTTTATGTATTAGGATCACTCCCAACATTTTTAAAGAGTGACTTGATACACACACGCACCGTGCCTTTCTGCTGTCTGCTAACAGCTTCGATGAGATCGTATCAGGGAATTTGCTTCAGACATATTCCCTTCGTTAAAATCCTCCAAAGCCAATTTGTTATCAACACGTCTCAGTAACACGCTGTTTTTTTCAACTGCCTATCTGTATTTTCTAGAGGCTCACTAAGTACAGTGTTTTTACTGACAAAAAACAAAGAACAAAACATGGCAGCACGTTTAAGGCAATACCCAATCACTCTCCAACGTTTTAATAATTTAAAAAGTAGCATTCTTTTCCTGCAGTGTTCTGGTATGTCTTCCTCTGTACAACCACTGAAAATCCAATGGCCATACCAAATTTCCTGCCAGACGTCTAATAGATGGAGTGTATTAAAAGTATTTGGATTTGTTTCAAAGATGTATTATCCTCTCATTCATTCATTATACTGTAAATTTCAGTTCTGACTGCAACAGTTTCTATTACTCAGAAAACATCACTAACAAAGCAGATCTGGGGAGCTCAGTTGTGTCCGTCAGTCAATCTCATTTCACAAAGCATTTGGTGTGCACCAACACACACCAACTACAGAGCTGGTTTTCTGGGCGCAGAACAAAGCGCAGCAGAAGATGCAGAACACCAGAAAGTTAAGCCATATATATTAAAATAGCAATCAAACAGGTGAAGTTACAGAGTTCCTTTTTTCAAGCAGCAGTTAATACACCAGACTTATAAAACGAAGAATGGCATAAAACACCTCTCCCAATTATGGTTTTTTAGCTGTGACAGATGCAGTGTCTTCAATTTATGCTGGAGAAGAAAATTAATGCAAGAGGTTTAGGATGTGAAACGTAACAGTCCACCTGAAAATACCGAAACATCAAAAGTGCTATGCACAGAATTAAAAAAGGGCCCATTAAATGCCTGATACTATCTCCAAGTCTGCAGCAGCACCAGCTACAAAGCTCTTACCTTGAAAGCTGTCTGACTTTAAAGCAACACCCAATCCTACCCACCTTCAGTAAGCCACTGCTGGCTGTATAAACCAATAACGTCACCAAGTGTAACACAGCCAATACTGAAACTGCTGGCCTTACCCACCTTGTTCTTCAGCCTTACCTATGAACAGATGTGCTTCCAATCTGTCAGTAGTTTTGGTTTTACCATGGCTCACCCTGGTTAAGAGGGGGAGCTAATGATGTCTCATTGGGAAGTGGGAGAACATGCTGAACTATCTGCATAATGATATATTTCCAGTTTTCCCTGTAGCAAAGGCTGATGAAGCTTTACAAAATTTGTCCACAATTAACCTCACTACTGGTTTGAGATCTACAAATTAACTGTAAGCAAACCTTTCCTAATTGTTACAAAACAGTATCAGAAAACAACAGTATTATAAACTGCACTCCTAGACAAATATATGCCGTAGCATACAACAGCTTTCTTTGAAAAAGTGGAGGGAAGCTCCGCAGACAGCACCACAGCATTCTCTCTAACAAATGTTGAAAGCTCCAAAAATTCCTATTACAAGAGAAGATGGTAGAAAACCAGATGCCAACAAGAGTATCAAAGGCCAAGGAGAACGTACTTATTCTGAAATTCACTCTGACTGTCTCAAGCACAACTCCTGACAATCATTATGAGCAAAACCATTCAACCGATTCATCTCTGCAAATTATTTTAGACTAATAAAGTTTCTGCAGATAGCCCACTCTGCCAGTTAATAAAAAATGTGTCTTAAAAACAGTCTTCAGTCCTCCTCACGGCCACTTGGAGCCATCCTCAGCAGCACAGCCCTCACAGAAAGCAAATAAACCTGTCACGTTAAATACTTCAGAGGAATTATGGATCCACTTCCTTCTTACAAGAATCCCAGGCTGTTACTGCTCTAGACAGATAATTACATGCTACAGTTAACCTACGCGCAGGCTCTCATGTTGACAACACCCAACACTTCAACTGATATCAGAACTGACTCGGGACTTCTGAAGAAAGTAGCACGTCTCTGAATTTGTCCTCCTCAATTCATTTGCTAGTTTCAAAGCAGAACTTAAGTAGGATACTACAGCTTTCTAACACTGTTTTTCAATGTACAAGCCCTGTGATGCTTCAAACAGCTGAAAGGAGCACGAATCTCAGTTTCCACCACAACCCAGCAGCAGGATTCTACCTACCAGCAGGATTCTACCTATCAGACTAAGACGACAGCCAAAGTGCACCAGAGCACAGAGTGCTTCTGCCAGCCTCCTAGAGCAGCTGTGCTTTCTCTGGAGACTTCAGATGCAAGCTCTGTTTGAAATGGAGACTAATTAGCCTACAAATGCTGAAGAAAATGTAGCTACCGCAGATAGACATGAGACCCACATTTTCCCTCTAGCACACAGAGAGAATTCTTAATGGATGATGATGTCCAGAGGGCACATACCAGGCACGTACACATTGGCACACCTCCACTAGACTTTCCTTTGCAACTCTGTCCTAAACTGACCACGTTTCAGGGCAGTTATCAGAAGATCTTGCAAAATCAAGCAGAGTTTTGCAAGGATATAAATTCCCAGAGCGAGCCATCTGCATGGGGAGGCACAATATGATGTGCAGATCCCTCTTGGAGCAGCTGTTTTTGAAAGCTGAAAGGGGCTATAAATAGAGTGCCACTTGATTGCCAGTTCACATGAAACCAAAACGCAGAGTAAATAAGAAACAGCAGTTCCTTCTTAGACGTGTCCCTCCAATATACAGGCACTTAAGTACTGCCTGTATTTTACTTGGTAGCATAATGATACTATCCAAGTCAATGGTTCTCCGTACAGTTATCATTGGTAAACACAACGTGTCGTCCAATGCATTATTAACTGCATTGTCAGGTTTCTGCTGTGAGACCTCCCTTCTGCTTTGCTGGCTGAAAAGGATGGCCAGCAGCAAAAAGACAAACAATCTATTTTATTCTGTATAACTTTTTTTTGACAAATTTACCAAAAAAGTGAGGAAAAAATAATAAAAAGCACAGATGACGCATTTGTTTCATAACACTCCTGCTAAGCCAAACCAAGACACCTGCCCTGCCTTTGTTCCGGCCCTCAGGCTGCTGACAAAGCCTGACAGGTACAAGTTTCACTCCCAGTTCAGATGAGCTCCAGAAGGACCAACAATCAGCACCACCCACCTGACTTCAACAGAGCCTCCATCCAAATAGCAACAGTCCCATGCAGGGCTGCTGATATGTGAAAAGACGACCCGTAACACATGTTGGAACAGCACATGAAAAGCACAACAGGCCTCCCATGGGTTAAACCCAGACACAAGCAATCCCATTGGTGGGTGTACTAGGGCAGTAAATGCCATTTTGAGTACAAGTGTGATAGTTCTACAAGACAAACACACTACACGCCAAGCCCAGAATGTGATTCCAACTCCTACCTGCAGCTTAAGACACAAACTTGAAGGAGAGAATAATACTTGCCACCACCAGTAACTATCTTAGCATGAATCCAGCTGAATGTCTCGTCTGTCCCAAGGAAAATGTCCTCAAATGCTACAGTGCTATGGAACACGTTCAGGTTCAATGAACAACCCTAACAATGAGATCCTACTCCAGTCACCAGAGTGATGCTTTTAACTGGTTATGTATATTGCACAGGAGCAGTGCTCCACATAGATCATCATAAAATTAGGACTGATTTCTACTGATGAAATTTCACACGTCAACTATCAGAACCAGTGTAACGTCAGAACAAAAAATCTCACAGTGCCCCTTCAAAACCTACACTCCACAGCCCCAATTTTAACACGAGGCTTTTCTGCTCTAACAGGAGCAAGCAAAAGGAACATTCCTCATGTGTCCAGGCAGAGGGACGTTCGCATTTCCACCAGAATTAGGGGAGACCTGATGGTAACTGCAGCCCCTCACAGGGAGCGGATGGGCAGGGCTGAGCTCTGCTCTGTGTGACAGTGACGGGGCCTGAAGAAACAGCATGGAGCTGTGCCAGGGGACGGGCAGCCGGGGGTTAGGGACAGGTTTTGTACCAGAGGGCGGTGGGCATGGAACGGGCTGCCCAGGGCTGTGGACACGGCCCTGAGAGCCGGAGTTCAGGGAGTGCATGGAGATCGCTGTCAGACTTAGGGTTTGGATTTTAGGTGGTCACGTGTGGGGCCAGGAGTTGGACTCGGTGATCCCTGTGGGTCCCGTCCAACCCGGGCTGTTCTGTGATTCTAAGCCATGACAAGCCCCAGCTAAGGCTGCCACACGCCGCCATCCAGATAGAACCTACCAAGCCAAAGTCAGCAGAATCAACAGTTTTCAACCTCACAGCTTTTCACACAGCGTTTCTGCGCACGCAGAGGGTGGAAGCCTCAGGAGGGGCTCTGCTTTCTCCTTTACCCTTCCCACCCTGCCGAGCGCTTGGGGTTCCCGAACATCACTCGCACAAGCCGCTCCGCCGGGAACCGAGGGAGTTCCACAGGCAGCCAGGAAGTCACCGCCAGCGCTGCGAGCGCCCCACGGTTCGCCTCGGGAGCGGGCATCGCTCCACCCCCGGGGCACAAAGCCGAGGATTCGCCGCCAGCGAGCCCACCGAAGGCGAGAGCTCCGCGACGACGCGCGTAACAGCCAGCCCCGCGCCCGGCGCTGCGGGCAGGGGGGTTTGAGGCACGCACGCACCCTCCGCCATTACCAAAGAACACCACCGGCTCCGTTTCCTCACGCGGGCGGCGAACGCGGCCGCCCCGCCGGCCGACAACGGCCATGAGGGGCGCCTGGGGCCGCCCCGAGCAACAGTTCTGCCCCCCGCCCCCCTCGCGGGGCCCCGGCAGCGGCGGGAGGGGCGGCACGCGCGGGCGGGGAAACTTGGCGGCCGGGTCCGGTCGCCGCGGGGAGGGGGGGGAGAAGGGGGAGATCCGCCGCTTGCCGGCCCGCTCGGCGCCGCGCCCTTACCCAGGTAGTGCCGCCGCAGCAGGCCGGGCTCCTCCAGCCCCAGGCTCCGCTTCCTCACGTCCCACAGCAGGTGGGGGCAGCGGCCCCGGGACATGGCCCCGCGCGGGGCCGGGCGCTCCGCTGCCTCCGGCCGCGCCGCGCGATCACCATGGAAACCGGCGCCCGCCTCGCGCCGCGGCACCGACGGGCAGCGACCGAGAGAGCGGCTGAACCAGCGAGCGAGCAACAGCGGCAGCGGCGGGGCCGGCGGAGGCTCCGCGCCCCGCCCCCAGGGCGCCCCGCCCCCGCGAAGCCCCGCCTCCGGGAGCGGGGGGAGGGGGCGCGGTGCGAGGGGCGGCGCTCCGGCACGCCCCGCCTCTCGCGCGAGCTGGGAGCACCGCCTCCTCGCTGCGGCGGGGGCGCCGTGGAGGTGACGGGTGACGCAGATGAACTGAGCGGCGAAGCCGCGAGGAGGCCATCTTAGTTCTGGGCGCGCGGCCGCGGGCCTGAGTTTCCCGCGCCGTCCATCTTGATCGGGAGCGTGAAGCCTGCCCGACGGCCATCTTTGAGCTGGGCACAGGGACGGCTCCCGTGCCCTTCCCAAAGAAGGCCGGCAGCGCTCTGCCCAAAGCGCCGGCTCCGCTCGCCTCGCGAGGCGGTCCCAGCCAATCGCGGCTGGCGGACCTCTCCGCCCTGCCCCGCCCCCTAGCCGATCCACCAATGAGCGCGCGGGATTTCTACACTCCTCCCTCCGGCGCGAGGGCGGCGAGGGCGGGGCGTGGCGGAAGGACGGCGGGTCGCGGGGGGACGGGGCCGCCGGCGGTGTGACCGAGCGGCACGCTGACACGCCGGTCGTCGGGGGTCTTCTCGTTGTGCAGACATGGCGGCCGCTGTCACGGGGCTGCGCGCCTCCTACCACCGCCTGCTCGACCGCATCGAGCTGATGCTGCCGCCGCGGTTCCGGCCTTTCTACAACCACCCGGCCGGTAAAGGCGGGGGACGGGAGAGGGGGGGCTGAACGCGGGGGGAAGCTGCTTGGGGCGGGTTCCGCTCAGCGAGAGCTCCGTGCCGCCCGGCGGGCGCTCAGCTGGCTCGGAGCTTCGCTTGGGGGAAGCGTGTCACCGGGGAGAGACCTCCGGCAGCGCTGTTTGCCATGCAAACAGGCCGCGCGCGGCAGCCGCGGAACGCGCGATAAAGCCGCGGCGTCCCATAGGCCGGTGCTTGGTTCCCGTGTGCCGCATCCTTGACTCTTCACCTAGCTGGGATGTGTGCGGTGAGAACGGACTTTGGTGTGCTCGGGTGGTTGCTCCATCCCATAGCGGTGCCCTCCTGGAATTCGTACTGTGACCACAGAGAGAAAGCTGCCGCCGTTCGTATCTGCGTACCAGATTCGTTAGGGCGACATAAACATGTTCATACAGCACGAGTGTATGTATACATCACAGCCGTAACCCATAAATGGCCAGCACCCCACTGGTGAGAAAAGCCACAAAACAAGCAGGTATCAAACCCAAGCCTCTGCTGCTCAGTTTCAGCCCTGAACGCCTGAGCAGACGGGGCTCAGAAACCTGAGCAATAGATGTCACTGTGACTGCAAACAAGTAGGTTACAAATGAAAGGCTGACGTCGTATCTCCTGGAGATAACCGAGTTGCTGATCTAATTTGGGAATGACATCAAGTGCCGCTATCGTGAAATTATACATCGCTTGCAGCAAGGGAAGAACGAACAATGCTCGCTTCTTTCCTGGCACAAAGAAAGCTTCCAGGAAAATGCCAGCTCTGAAGAGCTGTTTGTTTGGCTGGCACCGCACAGCTCAGCTGCTGGAGGACAGCAAAGGGCTTGGGACATGGCATGTCAACTGTTGTCGTGCAGGGAGCACAGCTCTTAGCCACGCAGGCCTGGACTGGGCTTGTACTCCACCTCTTTTGCCCTCCTGGGTTCCTTTGGCCTGACTAAACAGCTCCCTGGGACAAACACTTCTTACACTTAATATAAACTTCTGTTTGCACAAACAGTGTTCAAATTAGCATGTCCTGGTTCTGAGGGACTGCTGTCTAATTTGTCCTTGAAAAATGGGTGTCAGGATCCAAGAAGGGCCTGCCCTGTCTGGGGAGTCCTCCTTGCTGGAATATCTCTTGGGGAAGGTGTTCTGCTTGCAGGATTTAACTGCCCTCTCTTAGGATCAGCTTGGCTCAGCTGTCCTCAGCTGTTACTTACTTTCTTAATTAGTAGTTTTAAATTACCAAATTATTACCAAATTTGCATCATGGAGGAAAAAAAAAATAATGTTACACTGATAAATGTTCTGTTCTTAAGGTGAAAAGTAACCTGCTAGAAGTTACTAGCTGCTGCCTGAAACTTGATCACTGTCACAAGAGCATGGGTCTTACAGCTTTATGCAAAGCTGCCAAGCTAGTTTTTGTTGCATTCTGTGTTGCAGTCATGCCTTTTATAGGGCATAGCTGGCTTTGAGGTGACTGAACAACTGATGTTTGTAACAGTAAGTCTTATCCCCTGTGTTGTAAGTTGCTTCACATGTGCTTGCTGCAGAAACCTGGCAGCTAGTTTTTCCAAGTCATGGTTTTAAACACAAGGGTGCTTAAACCAGGCTGTATAAATAGTTACTGTAAGGCTGCATTGTTAGTTAAATATTAGCTCACATAAAAAGCAAACAATCCATGTCCTAGTGTTTATTGTTTATATTTTAAAACTTTGACTCATAATATGTAACGTATTATAGTGGAAAGTTGGTTTCATCTCCCACATTATCTGCCTAGCAATGCCTCAAACTTCATGTTTTGACAAAATCGGGCCCAGTGCTCTGACTGTACCCCAGGGTGGTGGTGGACATTTTGGATCCTGGTCTTTAATTAAAGACTTGGAGCAGTATTCCTAGATGAATGATGTCTGGCACAGCTGACAGTCTGCATACTGCTGGTGTAGCGTTACAATACTTTGTTTTAACCAACCAACTGCTATTTCTGCACCACTGTAGGATATGTGTAGTTATGAGAGAGATGTTTTTCCAGATCCCGCTCCATTGATTTATCTCCTTTCTGTATCCTCGTAATCCTTGTTTGACTATTGGCAAAATATTGAGATGGGAGGTCAAAGACCTGCCTACTCAGAGATGTGCATTAGAGGTCCATGAGAACATGCTGCTACTTGTTTTCAATTTGTACTCTAACCATCTAATGCTGCTGTGTAAGATGTCTTTTGTAGCATGAAGAAATGGGTTGTGATTTGGAAAGGGAGCAGGGTCTGACTTATTGCAGTGCTAATAACAAAATATTTCATGGTTACAGTTTACAAGATTCATAGAATCATAAAATGGCCTGGGTTAAAAAGGACCACAATGATCATCTCATTTCAACCCCCCTGCTGTGTGCAGGGTTGCCAACCACCAGACCAGGCTGCCCAGAGCCACATCCAGCCTGGCCTTGAATGCCTCCAGGGATGGGGCATCCACAACCTCCTTGGGCAACCTGTTCCAGTGCGTCACCACCCTCTGTGTGAAAAACTTCCTCCTATTATCTAGCCTAAACCTCCCCTGTCTCAGTTTAAAACCATTCCCCCTTGTCCTGTCGCTATCCACCCTCGTAAACAGCCATTCCCCCTCCTGTTTATAAGCTCCTTTCAAGTATTGGAAGGAAATTAGTTTTCAGTTTTAGATTCAGTTTACAAAGATTTCAAACTCTCATTCTGTTCGTTCAGTGATAGTCTAAGTTTTAATCTTCATATAGAAACTGTTTTCATTTTTCCTGGCCTGATCTCAATATTTTCATTATAAATGTGTCTTGCAGTACCCTTGTTTGCTTGAAAGCAGGAATACCAATCTTTCTTCCTCATCTGTTGCAAAAATGGGTGGGCTGATTATGCAACTAAAGGTTGAGTTGCACAGAGTTAAAGAAATATGAGCATTAGGTGATAAAGCACAATATATGCACAGTTACACAATATCACTGTGCAATTCACTCTACTAAAAAAAAAACAACTTACAATCTACACACAAAAACAAACAAAAAACACTACAAACAACAACAACAAAAATCATCAATAACTCAAAACTTACTACAAGCATTAAAACAACTACATCTCACTGAGTAATTTAACTTTTCTCCCCATTCTTCCCTCAGGTCCCAAAACAGTCTTCTTCTGGGCACCTATTATGAAATGGGTAAGTACAAGATGCCAACTCATGTCTGTTCATTAGAGGGCAATCTGCAGCAACTCATTGGGCAAAGAATAGTTCCCAGCAGGTAAATGAGGTTTGATGCCAAAGCTCTGATTTTTAATAGATGGGGAGGAAAAATATTAGAGTGAAAAAATGTGTAGTACAACTCTCCAGGGATACAGGGGGGTAAAAAAAAAAAAAAAGCAGTGCTTTCTGGAAAAGCTGTATGCTTCACTTAGAAAGTTTCATAAAAGCTTTCATTTATTGAACACTCACTGCTGCTTAAGGTTGGCATGAACTGTCATAATTCAAAACTCTGAAGGCATGTATTTTGGACATCAGTAGCTGTGTGTTCCTTGTACAGTTCTGCTTCTCAGAATATTCCACCGTTTGGCCTGTGTCTGTGCACATGAAGTGCATGCCTCATCCTTGTCGTAATATGTACAAATTAAGTAAATAATAAAATAGCTTGATATACCTGTTTGATAGCAAGCAACGAATACAATCTCCTCTTCCTATGGCCAGGTGGGTCATAAATCTGTTGTTGTGAACAGCAGATCTTACAGGCCACAGGGAATACATGATGCTGTACACTGTAGGTTGTTTTCTCTGTCAGTCTAGGTGGGTGCTGCACTGTCTATGGTTCACCTCTGCCATTTTCTGAGGGTCTCCCAGGCAATGTGCTCCTGAGCCTCAGCATACAGCAACTCTTCTGAGCAGGTTGCTGTCTGCTACTCTGTCATAAGAGCTAATACACAGATAGTTGTTTGTTTGTTTGTTTTGTGAAGATGCAGGAAGGCCTACCTGTGCTCCCAGTTAAGTTCTTCACTGAGAAATTAAAATGGCTTTTCTACTGCACAGCAAGAGCATGTTGACTTGCAGGTACCCAAATGGACTGCAAACCTGTACCTCTGTGACACCACTGCAGCAAAACCGGTCCCATAAACGAGGCAGCATGCAAAAGTCTCTACCCTTAAAAACTGATCTCTTGAGTGGAGCCCAAAGTAGCCCTTAGTGGCAGTCATCGAGTTAAAAGCATTAAGGCTTTTTTTTTTTTTTCACTTCTTTTGGTTAACTTCCGTAGTAGAACAACAAATTGTGTTTCCAGTAGAGGGCAATAACACAACAAAAAAATCTAGCAGCATATTTGCTAGTAACATTCTCAAGGAAGTCAGTCAAGCTATTTGTCACTGCAGTGGGGAATTTTTTGCTTTTACTGAAATTATATTTACAACAAAAAAAAGCACTTTTACCTCCTTGGATGAAGATGAGAGAAGACTACATATGTACATCTTTACTAACTGAGCTTTAGGAAGAAGGGTCTTCCTATTTAGACAAGATTCTACTTGCGGCATAAAAACCAATTTATTTTTAAGAGCAGCTCTGCTTGAATTAACCTTGTAACTAACAAAAAGTTGCCTGGGATTTCATTGCAAGCTAATCACAACCCCCATAACTGAGTTATTTCATCCACAAAGGACTGCAAGTGTACAGGGTCTCCAAGAGTAATTACTCAGCTCACAGATCCCATCTCCTGCATAATGCACACAGAATAAGCTCTGAGCTATACAGCGTCTTCCCCTTCTGAACAACTTGATAGTTTTTGGTACTGGATTGCCTTAATGAATTCTTTTTACAGGGTTTGGTATGCGCTGGAATGGCTGATATGACCAGACCAGCAGAAAAGCTCAGCACAGCACAGTCTGCAGTGTTAATGGCTACAGGTAAAGCCAGTGATACTTTGTGCTTGTATGCTCTCTACAACTGTATTCACTCCTTTTTGTATTCTGTCAGCACTAAGTCACTTACATAGAAAAGGCTCAGTATGCTAGCTCTCACTGTCATTGCTACATGGTAATTCTAGGACACGCTTATACTTGGTATTCAATTTATGAGAGTTCTGTGATTATGTAATAGGTTTATACAAGCGTCTTAATTTGGAATTGTCTAGAGCAAATTGTTTTGTGTTAGGATATAAATTTGGTTCCTTCAGATACAAACGATACCCTTAATTCCAGGAAATAAAACTCTTCTGCTTCCTTCACGTCAAGAAATTTTGAAATCAGTCCAGAATATGGTGGCTTTTTTAGAATGGATTTGAAGGGATTAAACAATGCTAGATGGAAAGAATTTCCATGTGCTACAAGAGCTTGGAAGCAGTGGTATACAGACCACTGCACTGCTGTCTGCCATGGTTTTCACACTGACAAATCCTGTATTCCATACTCAAGCATCACCCTTGACAAAATCTGGTAGAAGAACTTGTGGCAGCTAAAGCTGAGAACCGAAACTACAGCTACCACCTTCTTCCTTCTGTGGACTTAATTCTGATATCTGGCTTAGTGCTATGTGCTTTGTATGATATGTTTTGTGATCTCTAAATGGATGCAGCAAACTGGATACATTGCAGCAAAATACTACTGCCCTGCAACTGTGCCAGGGTATTAAGGTTGAGACTGCTGTAGAGTACAGAGAATCTTTATTTGATACTAGGACTATGATTAATGTTATTTTCTGGTTATGTTATTGTGGGAAAATGAAGCACATACCTGTATCTCTCTTACTGGCATTTGCTATGCTTCTAAGAAACAGATGATTGTAAGAAAAACAGTTGTCCAACATGAAGTTGTTAAGACTGGTGTACTTAAAGTAGCCCATGATTCCATCCCCAAACTGAGGGGATGTCTGAGTATTTTAATGACAAAGATGTAATGTCTCCTAACTTTTATTTTCATTCAACAGGCCTTATTTGGTCAAGGTACTCTCTAGTTATTATTCCTAAAAACTGGAGCCTGTTTGCGGTGAACTTCTTTGTTGGCTGTGCTGGTGGTTCCCAACTCTTCCGAATATGGAGGTATGTATTAAGAAGGGCCATCTGCACACTGTAATTAAGCACTCACACCACATAGTCCTAATCATGAAATTATAAATTCCACCAGCTTTCAGTGTCAGTACAACAGGCAACAGGAAATCAACAATTAATTAAACATTACATTTTGCTACATTTTTAGTTTTCCAAATGAATAGCAGGGAAGTCTCTACATATTTTCCTTACAGCTAGAGCACTTTTTAAGGAATGATCTGTGTAAGCTGTAGTTTCTGAATGTAAGGCATTCTTTAAAAGCTGTAGGTCTGTCTGACAAAAAGCCTACACCGTAGGCTTTCATAAGCTTCGTGCTTCTGTCAGCTTTCATTGTTGAATCCAATCAGTTCCAGTTGGATCAAAGGGTCCTTAAGCACAGCAATGTGATTTTTGTTTTTGTTTTTTATTTGGTTATTTCTTGAGGGGATCATTTGGCATTTTCTCCCTTATTAAGTACTGGACAGAAATAATGCAAACTTAGCAACTAATTGGGAGCTTTTTACATTAACTAAACTACCTTATCCTGAGTTTCTACTCTCAAGTTCTTTGTAATTTTAAACCTCCTTTACAGAATAGGTTGTTACAAAGACACTGTAACTGGAGCTCTAACCTTAGTCTCTGCTTTTCTTTCCAATAGGTACAATCAGGAGCTGAAAGCAAAACAACAAGAGCAACTACTGCAAAAAGATGCCTAACTCCATAGGTCAAGTCCAGCAACGCACAAACCCTTCCCCACGGGACCTAGCTTCACTAATTTTAATATTTTTGTTCTCTCAGAAACTGAAAAGGAAATCTGAAAGTCTAGAGAACATGCATTTTCTAAGTGCAAATAACAAAGTATCTCCATACATTTAAATAAAATGTGACCTTTTAAATTTAAGTAAAATTGTATGTCTTATGTCAGAGAACTTACATTGTCTCTTTAAAAGAAGCTGATTGTGGATTATGCCTTGAATTACTTGTTGGGCCTTACCTTACCTGACTGCTGAACAGAGCCTGGTGTGACATGGTATTGAGACTGTTAGCCAGAATCCCAGACAGAAAAATACTTCCATGTCACAGTGACACCTGTGTGGGGTTTTCACCCTACTTTAAAATTGTTCCTTTTTTTTTCCTTCCAGTTTCTGCCATCCTCCACAACTCAGGCTGAAAATGCACACATTTAGGTATCTGGTTCTTGGGAATGTGAAAAATAAACAGCCAAAACATCTGTTACTCACTTCTCACACCCTCCTTAAGTATGTACAGATTTTCTGTGAAGCTGTGCACTCAGGGAACTGACGTACGATATGTCAGTTCTCCAAAGCTTTGGAGGAGGTGGTCTGCTGCCGTCTGTGGCATGTTATGAATGAAACCTTTGAAAGCCAACCTCTCTCCCTACTTAATTTCCTGTAAAAGAAAAAAGTAACACTGTGAAACAGCTTCAGAGCAAAAGCTGTACGTTACATTGCAGAAGTCCATCTGTATCAGGCAATTGTGCTCAGAGCATGGCATCCATCAGCTTCCCCTGGCATGCTGTCAGAGACTCTTTCCTCCAAAGCTATGAGCCTGTAGCCAGGGGAAAAAAAGAGAACTAAGTCAGAGCAGCTCCTTCTGTATTCAGCTCTCAGTAATATGAATGCCTTGAATGATGAAATTGACAATGGCTTCTTATTCTCTCCTCTGCCGTACTTTGCCCAATCCAAGTTGAGGTACCACTCCCACACGGCAAGGGTGGAGACAGGAGGAAACTGTCTGTATTTAACAACAGCTGCAGCACCTTGCTGTGGCACTGAAATCCTTGCGTTTCTCACCCCGTGTAAACTATCTAGCAAAAAGTATTAATGCAGGACAGCATTTTCTCTCCTTACAAGACACGTGCCTGATAAAGCATCAGATACCCTTCTCCAGAGTCTGTCCTGCCTCTGAAAGCTGTCTGTCTCCCAGTTGGATTCTGCTGGAGATGTGTGCTGTAACCTCAAGCATTTTCTCTTGCATACCTTAGTTATTCTAACTCAGTTCATGTAGGCTATCACCTCAAACAGTGAACTCTCCAGCTGTGTGTGTTTGCTGAGCTGACAGAATGTCGGATGACTGAAAAATATTGCCAGAAAGAGAGATGGTATATTTCAGTCCCCCTCCCTTCCCATTTCACGACGAGACTCATCCAACAAACCAGAATTGGGGGGTGGAGGAAATAAGTGTATTAAAATATTCACAAGATTACAACAGAAAACGTGAAAGTCCATTCAAGAAAAAATATCCAGGATAACTTTCCAGATGAGTCTGTAAAAGGAAAAGCACTAACCGTTGATACACAGGATCTTCACATAGTCAGGCCATGCAATGCATATCTAGCTCCCTCACACAGATTATACACCTGTCTTACAGGTGTTTGTTCTCCCACATACCTCCAAGATGGAGGTTTATGAAAAGTATCCAGTCTATATTCCCAATTATATTTACCACATAAAAAGAGCTGCCATTGTAGGGAGACAGAAAAGACTGCACAGCAGACTGATTTCAAGAGGCATTGAACGTGCATTTTAGAGTGCAAAAACACCTTTAAATGGAAGGATTTAGTAGCCTTAGGGCAGTGAAGAGCAGGGAAAGAGAAGCCTCAGAAAAGTACAAGTCCTGAGCATCATTATATGACTTTGTAGTTTGTTACCTAAATATTAGCACCACAGGCCAATGGCCACTGCCCAGAAGTCTTACCCACCTTTTCAGCTTTGATAGTTTAAAAAAAATAATAATTCCATCACCTCTGTAGAGTCAGAACAATTTGCATTTGAAGTCCTAGGTAGATAATACTATTAATGTAAAAATCCAAGACAAAATTTTAAAACAGACTGAAAGTATTTTGGTCATAATTCAAATGGCCTGCATTTTACCTCAATGAATCCACTCTATAGCAACGCAGCTTACAAGCTGCATATATACATTTACTGCAGTTACCAGACAGATGGTTACCTGAGCAGTTCTCACAGGTTTAAAAAAGCTGAAAACTTATTTCCAGCTCATTTTCTCACAAACTGAAACAGCGCCAAAACTTAAAAAAAAAAAAAAAAAAAAAAAAAACCAAAAACAAAAACCATGCAGGTCTCCAGTTATTATCATGTAGTTAAGTATAGGGACATATTTACCAACCTATAGTGACTCTTTAATGAACACATGCAATGCGTTCATTAAAATTTAATTTAATCTAATTTAGTGCCATCTAATGAACGCACTGATGATCTCCCTCACAGGACAACTGCTGAAGACAAAAAAGGCAATGGAGATTTGATGTACTGAGTATAGCTACTGGTTTACTTACGTCAATATAGTTACGCCTAATACCCTTCAAAATCTATTTCTGCTGATCAGTAAGAAAGAAGAAAATATCCACTGTTAGTAGAGACAAAACTCTTCAATTTGCAGCTCTGTTCAGAAGAGATGACAAAGATGAATGATGCCATTCATATTCTTGTCTCTAGAGGGTGCAAGCTGGCACTCCCAAACTGCATTCCTACAATGCATACAAGGTCACTTTTACATGTAAAAGCCTATTTTTCCCTCTCACAGTAGAGAATTCATTGTAAATCTTTTACATCACGCAGACCTTCCCCAGCTCTATCACCCATAAGTGTTTGCTCACCTAACAGTCATTTGCTACTGCCTCAAGATTCTTGTCAGTTCTTCAGCTGGGCTGCAGCAAGCAGCAAGTCTGCAAAACAGACAGACCTAAAAAGAGCTAGCAGCGGTACTGATACTGGTTAAGGACAATACACTTCATTTTCCTAAAAGTACATGCTGTTCTTTTCCACCTGCAAAACAGCATCAAAGAATTAAGAAAATAGCAGTAGAAGACACCTGACTGAATTTCTGGTCACCATAACATCACAATCTGATGACTTTGTCTGACTTCAATCTCTGCTTGCTAGCCATCAAGGAAATTAGAAGTCATCTGTCACTTGAGATGATGTCACTAAGTAAACCAACTAAACATCAGTCCCTTTCATCAGCACAGACTATCGTATCCAAACAAATAAGCTAACACACTGAGTGCCCAAAAGTTCACAATAGTTCTGTCCCATGCTGCCTCAAGTTCATAGTATCACAGAATGGCTTGAGTTAGAAGGCAGCATAAAAACCACCTAGTTCCAACTGTCTGCCATGGGCAGAGCTGCCAACCACCAGCTCAGGCTGCCCAGGGCCCATCCAACCCAGCCTTGAGCACCTCCAGGGATGGGGCATCCACAGCTTCTCTGGGCAGCTGTGCCACTGCCTCACTGCCCTCTGAGTGAAGAATTTCCTCCTAGCATCTAACCTAAATTTCCCCTCATTCTGGAAAGTCTCTAAAACTCACAGTACTCAAAAGGAGCTTACAGTACTCAGAAGGAGCATATAACCAGGAGATAGACTGACTTTTTACACAGGTTGATGATCTGATGGTGATAGGACAAGGAGGAATGGTTTTAAACTAAAATAGGGGAGATACAGATTAAATATTAAGAGAAAAATCTTTACTCCGAGGGTGGTAAAGCACTGGAATAGGCAGCCCAGAGAAACTGTCTATCACACTTGAGACTGATTTCTACTATTCCTATGGGGAAGAGAGTTTGTTTCTTTCCTAAAAAAAAAGTTCAACGTTAAAAAACAAAACAAAACTTCAGTATGCCTTCACACACAAGGCTGTCTGAATCCAGGCAGCCTTGCAATGAGACTTCTCCACATAGGCTATAAGAACATACCTGTACCTAAAGAAAACCAATGAAATTACACATTTCTTATAGTTAGCACCAGAAGTAGCAGGATTGTACTCAGATTCTTCAGTAGATCCCAGCAGAAAAACAATCAAACAACAACAAAAAGCCCCGCAAAAACAAACAGTGACTTCAGAGCAAAAGACAGACAGCCCTATTTTCTTGTAGCACCAATGTTTGATAGTTAAATTCATCACATTTCTCCCTTTTACTCTAAAATGTCTAGGGAGAAAGGTGGTAATGCACAGCGATGAGCATAGGCAGATTAAAACAAAGGTTTTCCGTCAACTAAGCTTCTGTTTCTTGCTAAGTGCAAAGCAAATATTCGGAAGAAACAGCCCAGTTAGGGAAAGCAGCAGAAGGATTCACTGCGACTTTAGCTGCACTTCTACCAGAAGCAAGAGTTGTTAGGCAACCAGTCAAGCATGATCCTAATGAAAGAATATAAAGTTTGCAAACCCAACTTTGTTGAGAAAAAAGAATGAAGAAGAAGCCAGACTCTTCTCAGTAGTACTCATGGACAAAACAAGAGGCAATGGTCAGAAGTTAAAAATCAGGAAATTCTACCCAAACACATGGAAACACTTTTTTTTACTCTAAGAATCCAAACAGTGGAATAAGTTGCCCAAAGAGACAGTAGAGTTTCTATCTGTGGAGATACTAAAAATGCAACTGGACACAGCCCTGGCCAACCTACTCTAGCTAAACCCAACCTGGGTTTAAATAGATAATTTCTGGAGATCCTTTCCAACCTCAATCATTCTGTAAATGATTCTGTGAAATAAACCAAATTAGGAAATAGGTAAGAATCTAAGAGGTTATGGTAGATCAAACTGAAAATTAACTGCTGTTAGAGAAAAGTTAACACCACATAAGAATGTACAGAACAGAAATCCCACTTACTATATGCTACTGTGAAAAGACCTCAGCTGGAGTGCCACTTCTAGTTCAGAACACCAGATTTCTGGGTGCAGATGGGACAGCTAAAGAAAGATCCTCTTCAGCAGAAAAGAACAATCAGGGATCCCTAACAATTTGTGAGGAGTATAACCTACAAACATGAAGCTGGGAAATTATATTAATCAAGTAGTAGACTTGTAGAGAAGAAGGAAATAAACTGTCCTCCACATCTGTCTGTGCAAATAAAGATTATAAAAGAAAGAAAAAAAAAAGGGAAAAGACAACAACAACAACAAAAAACCCACACTGAATTAAAAAACAGAAGGAGAAAAAAAAAGAAAAAGTGAAGCTCTAGATTTCTTCCAGAGGCCATTCAGCCTTCATTAAAGGCTTTGAGAACAGAGAAAGCATCTCCTCAGAAATGGCAGAGGTATAGTGGAGCCATGAGGGAGAGGCGAGGGAATACCAGAACTTCCAGATCCCTTGGAGCCCTTTTTTGTCCTTATATGAAGTGTCATTTTTGAGAAAGAAACACTTCATTACCTCAGACTCTTTCAGTGAACTTTTCAGCCACCCAGAGCTACAACTTCTTATCTCTTTAACTCACTAGCTCTTCAATTTTCACAGGTAAACTACAATTTCACAGAATTCATTAGATCAGTACTATCCCTGTACCTTAAAGGACTAAGCTTGAATATACAGGCTTAATATAGAAGTAAACAATTCGGTGAACTGTGTTAGACAAGTCAGGTAGATCTGAACATTTTCTTTACTTGCAGAGGTAAGACATCTATTTCTGATAGCTAGGAGTCACAATTCTGCTTACAAGACCAAATGAGAATGTCTACCTCATAGGAGAAGGCAGCTTTTGTACTGACAACCTGACCAAGAAAATATGAATACCCTGTGAAAGTTACCTTTTTTGTATTCACCTCAACAACAATGAAAGAAATTAGGTCCTATAAACAAAAAAAAATCTCCAGGTCAATCTAGAATCCTCAGGCATCTTCCAGTTTCTCCATTGATACAATAAAAATATTCTTAAATTATGATGTGAGTTTGCACTTTCTCTCTCATCATACAAGATACAAAAAGAATATTGGCAATTTATAAGCAGAATTCTTAGCGCATTTCAACATGCAACATTGGTCTCACTTCTCTACGATTAAATAGACTATTTACACACAATACATATATATCTTTCCCTCTGTATGCACATGCATTGGTCCTAGCCTAGGCATCAAAGGCCACATGTGAGTTCTCTGGGTCAAATTTTGTTTAAGCAATTCCAGTCTGAATGTTTTGCTATAGACAGGTTAGGATCACATCTCAGTTCTTCCGAATATCAGCATAGACCACAGACTCTGACTTGTTAATCTTGTTGCTGTGCTGTCCTCCGGAGTGATCTAGCTGCGCGTAAATGACTGGGCCCTGCAAAGAGAACAAAAAACACAATCAGCATTGTTCAGAATGGGTCATATTGTCCCTCCCTTCAGCAGGGGCTACAGCAAGAACCACACAGCTTTTATGACTATTAGCGACACTGTGAAGCAAGTGGAATGAGCCCTCACCTATAAATGAGTCTCTAGTCTGCCACCTTTATCATACCAGGAGTGTGCAAAAAATTTCCTCCCTTTAATACCATTAAGGCTGCTTGCTCTCTCAAAGAAAAGCTAAATCTAGAATCATTTGTTGTGAAAAGCAGCAATTTTTAGATGTTGTAGAGAGAAGAAACATACTTGGCTTAGTCAGATGCATGCCAGATTCAATATTTTAGAGGAGAAACTATGCTACAGATTTACCAGTAGATAACCGAGTAGTAAATGTACTGCCATGTCCTGTAAATCTCAGCACAGCTGTACCACTCAGATAACTAAGGAGAGAACAAACCTGCAGCCACCTCAGGACACCACAGTCACTGGCCAAGCAAATGATGGGATCAAGGTTTACACAGCAGTGAGTCAGAAAATACTAAAATTGTTCAGTAATGCAAAATTCTTACCTCACTTTCAAACCAACCTAGCTCAGAGTTTTAAAAAAAGAATTGAATCCTTGGTCAGTTGGGCTACCAAGGTTCCCCTTTGCTACAAACCAACCCAAGGCATGATGCAGACCCACAAACAAGAGAACTACTTAAGACCATCACTCCAGAAGGGCATAAAATAATAGAAAGCATCCAAACGAGGACTCTGAAGATGGGGCAGGGTCTGGTGTATTAGGAGCTGCTGAAGTCCCCTGGTTGGTTCAGCGCAGAGCAGAGGAGCTGAGGGGTGGCCTGATGGCGGCTGCAGCTCCTCAGAGGGAGCAGAGGGGCAGCGCTGAGCTCTGCTCTGTGTGACAGCAACAGGGCCCGAGGGAACGGCATGGGGCTGTGTCAGGGGAGGGCAGCTGGGGGTTGGGACAGGTGCTGCACCAGAGGGCGGTGGGCATGGCCAGGACTGCCGGAGTTCAAGAAGCATCTGGATAACATTCTTGGACATAGGGTTTGAATTTTGGGTGGTGCTGTGTGGAGCCTGGAGCTGGAGTTGATGATTCTTGTAGGTCCACTCCAGGTTGGGATAATCAGTGATCCTACAGCTTCACACATCCGGTATGCTCGGTACCTTCTTGTGTCAATCTGCTCAGTATGACCCAGCACTGACAGTTATTGCCAGGCTTTCCCTACAAAAGACTGCAGCACAGCCACACACCTTTTTTCTATTTGCTGGAGTGGAGGACATTGAAGTACCGTCTTTCAGCAGAGCATGCAAATACACCAGCCCTTTCCTAAAGCACATCATCCAAAACACAGCCGCAGGAAAGCAAGCTGTAGCTATTCCAGATGAGCCAAGAATAGGACTGTGACCTGGAATGCTGACAAGGTAAAGATGGGAGCTCTATGAAAGCTCTGACCTGCAGCTCCCATTCTGCATGCCACAATTGAAATAAACACAGAGCAGAAGGCTGTGGCCGCCTACCAGGTGCTCTAAGTGGAGAGATCACATGAAAACATTACCCGCACAGGAGAGAAGGTGACTGTTTTGTTGGGCAGAGGGAAGAGGGCAAAAATTACAAGGATGGATCTTTCTGTTTGATTCAGGGTCTTCTAGCTATTTTTGCCTCAAAATGATTTCATTCATTTAACTCCATTTCTGTTTCCCTTAGTTTCAAGAGAGAAGAAGCTTTCACAGATACTTCTCCCAGTCGCCACTCTCCAATTCATTTATCTTCCAAAGCAATTAGAGGCCAAAGATAAGAAGATACCTTCTATTCAGAAAACAAAATCCTTGAAGGACCATAGGTACACTTCTGCACAGCTGTTTTCCTTCCAACACAACGGCAAAGCATGCACCTGCTAAATGCCTTGTTTTCCTTCAGAAGCAATATAAAGCCAAAATGTCTGCCTTCTAGGAAAAGCACTTCCCAAGTTACAAAGAAAAATATTACAGGAAGGGGAGGAAAAAAGGAAGAATATTTTTATGTAAACATAAAATGCTGAATATAAATAAAAGATTAAATAAATGATATAAAAAAGATATTTATGTCTTAGGAAAGATGAATTTTAGAGTTTGGTTAGAAAAACTCTTGGGTTTTTTTTCAGCACTATTGGCTCTCACGTTGTTCTGGTCTCTGAAACTATATTTGGCTTATGTTATTAAATCCAATTAAGGCTTAGTGTCTATAAAAATGTTAAGGAAAAGTGAGCCTAAGATTTATTTGTAAGCAATTAGGAATTCTCACCTGCCTGAAGTCATAGTTAAAGGAAATGGTAAATTACACTCCATGGCACCTTGTACGAGTTCAAAAAAATCTACAACTGCATAAAGTACTCAATATGACATCTCAAGTTTGCTCAAAAAAATCCTGATGGGTCAATTTTCTACCACAGGAGTTAACTTTGGATCAGTTATCTTATCACCACTATTATTTTATGCCAGGTTAAATATAATTATCTTGCTGCAACCAGAATATCAGATGAAGATGATGGGGCTGACTGGTGTGGTCACCTGATCCAAATCAAGCTATTGTCTAGATATATTCATCATCACCCAAAGAAATGAAATACTAACTAAAACAGAAAAGAAGGAGCAAGGATTTATTACAATGCTCCACTTATTTGATTTGTTGCCAGCTGATTTTCTAGTCTAATTCAATGTGCTCCACATGTGTCTCCCATGTATACTCAGTACCACCTCACTGCAGCTGAAAAGTAACCAGTTTCACTAGCATACTTCAGAAACTATTGCAACATGCTTCTGGAGCTCCATCAGGGTGAAGCTAACATGGTACTTTAACCTTTCATTCCACCAGAAAATGCTTCCCTAACATAAAGAGAGAGAAGAAAAAAAAAAAAAAAAGATCAATTACAAAAAAAGGCCAGCCCTTGCTAGGAAAATGCAAGGGCTGATGATCACTAGAAAACTTTTAAAGGACACTAAGCATGCAGGAAAATCTATGGGAACCACCTTGGAGTTAGCATATTTTCAGACAACATACATCTGCTTTTCAGTTTGCTTGCTGCAACCCAACTAGCTCAACAAGGACATTCATCCAAACAATGCATTTAGTTCCTGTCTCACCAGAAATGCTTTTCTACCTCATCCAAATAACAGTCATGTTAGAGTATGAGTCACTGCAGAAGATGGCATGGCAAAGAAACACTATACACAAATCTGACAGGACAGAACATACCTACTGAGAAGGAAGAAACGGTGAAAACAAGTAGAATTGAGTCAATCAAATGAACATTAACAAAACAAGACAAGTTTTATCTAGATTTTAAAGGCAGGCTCTTATTAACCACTCCAGTCCATTCCAGTCAAAATCTGAACCATTTTTAAAGCTTTCTATTTGATTATATTGCCTTCGGTTCAGAGATTAACTGTTCTCTAAAGTCACTATGTCTGCATGATAAAACTCTGTGTTCTGGAAGTACGGCACCTGTCAAGAATAAAATGCACTTCACAAACAGACTGTAAGGCCAACAGAGTGGAGATCTTCACCTTATCCAGCTCACTTAGCGCTGTATTTTTTCCCCTGTAGTATTAACACACATCTCTGTTACTTTGTCAAGAAATTAGGTGTCAACATTGATTTTAAGACTTCTCCAAGTTTACACACTACTCTGTAGACCCTTGCTGCAAGATGACATTAAGAAAAAGTCCCTTTTTGACTTAAAATCACACAGGATCCGTATCTCATGGGAAAATTGCTGAACATACACAAGAGGTAAGAAACAGCTTGCAAATAAGAAAATCCTGTACAGAGATAATCATATATTGCATTGAATCCCTGTTTGATGCATGCCCTCTCCCTTTTGACTGCTTTCTCATGGGATGTTTAGTCTGAGTAAGAGCCACCACCTTTCCTTCAAAATCAGTGGGAACACAGAAAAATCAGTGTTCACCAGCACCAACAAGAACAAGACAAAGTTTCCTAATTTCAAGCCCACAAAAGCCAAGTGGTTCAGCAGAAAAGAAATCTCAGCAGCAAGAGCCAACTTCAGACTGATCACCTTTGGTGAGCGTTTGGTTCATTGTCATGTAAAGGAAGTAGATGCCACTTAGAGCACTTCAGAGCAATGAGAGACTAAGTAAAATTCCTTCCTAGCACAATGGTAGAGCAGATTAGGCAGTTCTGATGGGTATTACATATCTAGTAGACAATGTTACCTCTACACTAAACAGCTACCTGCTACCAACTCCACATGCCCAGAGAGGTTGTGGATGCCCCGTCCCTGGAAGTGTTCAAGGCCAGACTGGATGGGGCCCTGGGCTGCCTGGTCTAGCATTAAATGAGGAGGCTGGTGGCCCTGCCTGTGGCAGGGGGGTTGGAGATTCATGATCCTTGAGGTCCCTTCCAAGCCTGGCCATTCTGTGATTCTGTGATACCAGCTGTGTATGCTAACACAGAAGATAAAAACCATGTTTTTCATACATTAGTACACAAAGGGCAAAAAAACTACCTCAACTAATATCAGAATGTTACCCTTTCAAATGCACATCTTCAAGAGAAGAGTTCACTGGTCCCAGCTTACTGCCCATCTCTCACCCAGCTCAGATACCCCCTGCCCTCCTCACCTTAACGGACAGTGCCTAACTCACACATCCCACCCTGCCTCCAGCTTTTCCATACCATCTCTCCCACACTCCAGGAGGATCCTGCTTCAGAAAGCAGCAGGAAGCAGTTTACCTGGTGTGATCTGGCGGGTACGCTGTTTACCAGACCCTCTGTGTCGGAGGGCGACTTCTGCGGAGCCTGCTTAACTGGTGACATCAAGCTCTCAGATGTACCGCAGCTGACGAGGTGGCAGAGCAGAGTTTGCACGACAATGTTCAAGAGGCACAAACAAACAAAAGAAAGAACAAAAAACAAAAAACGAGTGATGGCAAGATGAAAATGGCAGACTACGCCAAAGTAAAAGTGAACATAATGGATTCTGTAATAAACACACACAATTCTCCACCTCTCCCTAGTCATTCCTCTGTCCCTTCTCCTAGTCTCACTGGTGAGTGACATGAAGAGATAACTGCTAACACTGGACAACAGCTCCTCCAAAATTCTTGCTCCCTAGATATTCTCATTCAAGCCAGTCAGTCTGAAACTTTACAGCCCACATACCTATATGTTTTCTTCAAATAGGTTTCAGACTCAGTTAGCAGTGATAAACAACAGCTATCTTCTAACTACTAGCTAAGTAGCCCAGTTACTGAAGCAAGCATGATACCACTGCCACAGTAAAAGTGAAAACTTGCAAGAGCCACCAGCTCTCCATACCACCCACGGTACTTCCTACTGAGCACCACATTAGTTCCCTTGCTTTTCTTTGGACACTGGTTCCAAAATAATTCTGCCCACTCACAAGAGACAATAGTCCCTGAAGTGATTACTTTAAGAGTTACAAGTCACATGTATGCCATGTGCCCAGATACGGCTACTTGAATATCTAAATTGGCAAATCTTGTTTGAAAACTCAGAAAAGTGTCTTTTGGTAAGAACTAGCATCTATAAAATAAGGTTGCTAGTTTTCACTTGATGCTTGCTTCTTTTCATTCACTTAGAGCAGGACTGAAAAGAAAACAAGCCAACGACAGACAGAGAAATGAATACCACAGAAATAAGTATATGAGCCTTCACAGTTAAGCTCAGTAGCTTCTGGATAGTGCAGTACTGTGTTTCTAATGCTAGACCTATCTTCTGTTACCCATCCACCCAAGAAAGAAAACTGTCTGCCTCCCTGATTGCTACACATGAGCTGCCTTTGCTACCACAACCCTCTTGGCATCCTTTCCTCACAATCTTTGAAGGAAGACAGTGTACAAAGCAAATATAGAAACAAACAAATGAGGACTGTGACATTAGCAGACCAGCTCTTCACAGGGCAATTGTACTTTATTCTTTGGTAAGTCTTGCTATAGAAGATTTAGCTCTGCAAACATGCAGTAAAAAAAAAAGAAGGGAAGGGAAGGGAAGGGAAGGGGGAAGGGGGAAGGGGGAAGGGGAAGGGAAAGGAGAAGGAGAAGGAGAAGGGAAAGGAGAAGGGAAAGGAGAAGGGAAAGGAGAAGGAGAAGGGAAAGGAGAAGGGAAAGGGAAAGGAGAAGGGAAAGGAGAAAGGAAAGGAGAAGGGAAAGGAGAAGGAGAAGGAGAAGGAGAAGGAGAAGGAGAAGGAGAAGGAGAAGGAGAAGGAGAAGGAGAAGGAGGAAAAGACTGAAAACTCAGTCACCATAGCAAGGGATTTCTACTCTATCTGAGAGACAGAGAAGCTCTTCTGTGACCAAGATGACATAACCATGAATTGTTTGCTTTATTCACAGAATTCCTAAGATCCATACTAGCTAAAAGTTATAATTTCTTTTTGAGCACGTAGATCACTGCAACTGTAAGTTTTCAAGTGGCAAAGCTCTGAGCCACAAGAACACTTAACAGGGAATTTGTTTTTATCCTGACACAGAAAGGACTTTCTTTTGCTTTAGTTAATGCACTGGCAAGTTCACTGCGGGAAGAGATGGAGGGACACCATTTGAGAGAAGAAGCAATCCCACCCCAGCTAGACATGAGACAATGAAACCCAAGCATCCAGTGAAATGCATCATCCCTCTGCCAACAGATTCCAGCACAAATTACAGTGGAGTTATGTGAGCATAGAGCAGCTGGTTAGTCAGCAAAAGAAGAGGAAATGTGTACACATACACACAGGTATTAACAGCAACCACCAACTTGATTAGTTACCATGGTGTCTAGTGGGACTGGAAGAGAAGACCCAGCCCTGCTACATTCCCAATCTGGCGTCTATATCAGGATCTCTGTAAGGAGAGGAAGATAAGCAGGATCCGATCCCAGCACACCAAGGCAGAAAGGAAAAATAAAAACAAAAAACAAAAAAACACCAAAGTCAGATCATGAACGGAAACTGTGGCCATGCAGTGCCCCAGCCCACCTCAGTTCAAGGCAGAGTTGTTATCTAAGAGTAAGTGCATCTCACCACCACCACCACTCACTAGGTTAGTGTCATGGAGAAGAAAGTCTGTAAGTTTGAAGGGGGTCACAGCACATTTGATTTCTCTTAGCATGTCATGCAGAGCTGGCATGGTCACCAAAAGCAGTATCTAGTCTTCAGAGATTACTTCCCTGAGAGAGTAGTTAAATCTACTGCAAGAAATTACAGCACATAAGCTATTTTTCCAGGCTCAGCTCCAGCACATATCCTTCAGCAGGAGGACAGTGAACAGCAGGGTCACTCAGAAGCAAAGCATGTGGACCATCTCATGTGCACTTTTGGTGTATGACACTCCTCAGTTTTCAGGGGAAGGACGCATGCAGAAAGTGGAAAGCAGACTTTCCTCACAATTTTGAGCACATACCACTGCCTTCACTGCACTTGGCTTTACTGTTGGGAAAAGCCAATTCACTTTCTCTAAGCTCTCCAACTGAGAAAAGGACAAGTTAAAGCTCAATTTAGAAATCTCCACGAGTTTATTTTTTGAGCTGTTTTCTTCCACCCTACAGGCAACCAAAAGAACCTGCAGGAAGCAGGAATATTTGTTGGGGAAAGAACAGAAAAAAGTTATTAACTGTGATTTCATTTCTAAGATTAAAGACATAATTTTCATCCTTTCTTAGAGAAATAACCAGCTAGTTAGAGAAGGAGAAACGAGAAACCCCCAGCAAGCTCCATCACCGCAGGACTCAAGTCTGCTTTTATCACGTCTTGTTGCTTTCTTTTATTACCACCTCAAAAGATCTATCTTCATTTTGGAGATATTCTAACACAAAAAAAAACTTTTCAGGGATGGCAACAGTTAACTAGAAACAAACAGCGAATGAGAACGGATTTGAAGTGGCCAGTCCTTCCTTCCTTATTAGAGTGGTGATGAACGCAATGTTGCCAAGTGTACTCCAGGCTCAGGAGTGTAACACTGGAAATTGAAAAATTCAGTCTTAATCTCAACAGATTTTTTCTTAAAATTGCATGTGCGGCAGTTTTCCTTTGGGAAAGGGGAGGGTAGAGAGATGAGGAACTAGGAAAGGGGAACAAAGCAGCCAGGGGATCTTCAATTAAGTGTTCAGAGGGCATAAAAGTTTGTGGCAGGGGATCAACAGTTTACATTTAGTGATTTTCAAGTGTAACTCATGCTCAGTAGGTCTTTTCAAGCACAGCAAAAAAGATAACCGTTATAGACAGATGATCAGTCTAACACATGGCCATACCCTATCTCCAGCCATGGTTGCCAAGCCCTGGCTGACCCAACTCCTACCCCCCTCTAAGTCCCCCCTCTGATCCTACTGCTGTTCCTCACATCATTCACAGGTGAGGAGAGAGATCTCTTACCCAGAGTAACGTTTTTTAGAGTTGTTCTTTCTCATAACAAGACACACGACAATAGAGATGAGCAGTGTGAGACCTGTAACCGTACCGATGACTATCCCTGCCACCATGGCAATGGGGAACGCAGGCAGGCTGTCTGGGGAGAGAAGGGAGAAAACATTCAACTCTTCTGCATTCCCTGAATAACAGAAGTGTAAATGACACATGTTCTTGACCTTGGATTCTTTTACAGCAGAAGCACTAATGTCATACCCAGGAATTAAAACATGCGGCCTAAATGGTAGCAATAGCAGGCAGCTAGCAGAATAATGTATGAACAAATCAGACACCAAGAGCATTCTTTAAGTTACCATCCTTCAGAAGGGACTTTATATAGAGAATTTTTTACATGTGAAGGAACACAAGTGATAATGACAATAATCCTATCTTATTTTCTACTTGAGAAAAAAAGTTATGTTCATCTGGTAACTCTCAGTGAGGTCAAAAGGAAAATGCAGGCATACTGAAAGCACTTTGCACATCACTGATCAATTAGGAGTGCTGAATGCTGGGTGTTCTCTGGGTAGCATGCAGCAGACAGCCCAATTACTACCCACGATCACTCTAAGAGCATTTATACATGCTTCTGGTGTCTCAGATACATCTCTATACATTTTTATAGAGTCATTCTTCTCCTTCTTAAGTCAGGTTCATTGAAAGTTATTAGCAATATGCTTACAGGAACATAGTATTGCTTTACTCACGTTTTCCCCAGTACAATTTGGGGGAAGGGGAGGCCAAGAAAGAGCAGCCAGAAATAAAAGCCAATCAGAGAATGAGTACAAAAGATTTACAAGAGAAAGAATACACAAAGCACCATTATATCTTTTTTCATTTGCAAACAACATTCTCCCTCTCATCTTGCTTAATGCAATGAACATCTTCAATTGGAAGCCTTCTTACCAGAATCCATTCCTATGCTAGCTACCTGCACCAAATTCCAGTGAATTGGCATAAGATGCAACAGGTATGACATATTACATAGAAAATCCATCTCAGACACTTGGATCTGACCACCACAGAATCACTGAGGTTGGAACAGATGTCTCAAGATCATCTAGGCCAATGCCCAGGTCCAAGAAGGGTCAGCTTATGCAGCCTTCTCTGTACCCTCTCCAGTTGGGTTTTCACTATCTCCAAGGATGGAGGCTTCACAATCTCCCTATCAGTCCATTCCAGTGCTCAACCACATTTATAGCAAAAATGTGTTTTCCTATGTTGAGACAGAATTTATCGTGTTGGCAAATGTGTTCATTGCTGCTTCTCCTGTCTCTGGGCACCACTAAAGATCGTGGCTCAGTCTTCTGTAGATACTTTCTCTCACTAGATGTTAATAATCATTGGTAAGATCTCCCTGAGTCTTTCGTCTTTTTTGCAGGCTAAATAATCCATTCAAAAGGTGGGCCAGTCCCTCCTTGCTGGATTTGTTCCAGTGAGGACCACATAGCATGCTTAAACAAAGCATTCCCAACAAGTTTACAGTATGTAGATCAATTCCATTTTGACACACCTGTATAGAAGGGAATAGCACAATACAGTACCCTGATGATGCAAGGGCATCACACAACATTTAGTATTGTTCATTATGACTTCCAAGAAAAGGGCTACATGACCTCTAGCTGTTTTACTGATGATACCCTGTATGGTAACTGTTGAGTCACAGCCTAAACCACTGATTGATCACCCAGGGAAAGGACCTGGTCAGCCCTGGGAGCACAGGTGAAGGCAATCCAGCTGTGTGACCAGAAGGGGTGGAGCCTGGCTGCACCTTTCTGAGATTTCATTTAAAGGTTGACTGCCACAGGGGAAGGTTTGCTTCTTGGAGAAGTTTTCCCCTGTGAGCCTAGAATCTTCTGATAAGGGTGAGAAGTCTTCTTTCCTTCCTTTATAGCACCTCTCTATTGTGCCAGGTGTCATCACACCTTTGCTGTAATGCCTTTCCCTTTGTATTGATCTGTCCAATTGCTACATACCACCATTTGACTGAATATCCTATCAGCAGCTTTCCTAGCTTTCTCCAGTGTTTGATGCCAGTTTGTAACAAGTCTTAGAAAGAAATTAAAGATGAAGACGTAAGTGCCACAACATAGAAGATATCCTTTCTTTTACAAACCTTCTGGTAACCCAAAGATCCATCTGCCATGAAGGAGAAGAGTCTTACAAATAATAATGCTTTCCAGCCTCATGCAAAGATAAACATATTTATTTTGAGGCATTTAAGAAGTGGGAGTTCAGTTTTTGTTTTTCTTCCCCTTTCCAGGGGATAATTTTTTTGTTTGCAGAAGTATCAAGAGAGACATGTATTTCTGTTAGCAGACCACCTCCTTGTCAAGGGGCAAAAATAAAGCAAAAACAACACTTTCATAACAAGAAAGTAGTAATCTAAAGCTATAGTGTTATCTGCTGAAAAAAAGTGATATTAAAATGATGACATCATCTAACCTGGCAGATTTGTTGCTTCTTTGATTCAGTTGGCTGGATTTGGATCAAAGACAGAAGTTCTGTTGACAGAATTTTTAAAAGGCTGCAAGAGTGCAACTGTTTGCATGTGAACCTAGAGGCTTTACTGCCTTTCAGAACACAGTCCTACAGGCTACAGAAAAGCTTACACAATTTCATGACCACATAGCTTACTTGTAGAATTATGCCTTCTATCCCTTCTTTTCTGATGTTCTTCAGTACTGCACTTACATGAATTCCCCATAAATGTTTGCAGAGCAGTCAATGATTTCATTGTAAAAGATAGTCCCAGCTACATACCTAAGCGTTAGCTTTCAAAGCTGATGTGTAAATTCATGGTTTAGTATAAGTCAAAAAGTCAGTCTTTCAAGGGATGTTTTTCACTAAAAATCATCTTAATTCAAAGCATCCCATTTTCTCTGAAAATGTGGTAGTAGGATTAGTTTCTTCCCTATTTCATAAAACTGAAGCTTTCAAGTGAAGGTAAATATTACAATTTCCATAAAACAATTCTAATTTTCTTCTCATGAGAGTTCAGATCAAAGATGGACAAGCTGTGTCAAGCACTGTTTTAAGTAACTTCCTGTTACAGGTAGGGGACAACCTAACGTAGAGGATTTGGAATTGCCAACAAATTCATACAATTTAGGCTTTGACTAGTAGTGCTTCCTAGATTCACATATGCTAACATAACAACAGCCTTCCTTCTCTCCTCACCAACAGGGTCCTTCCAATGTAGTTGAAGGAGCAGTTTGAACAAATGCTGTGGAAGCACTGCAATGAAAATCAGCAGAGTTAGCTTGGCAATTTTGAGCAGCTGAGCCAACAACAGCAATATATCAGATGACTAAACCAAAATATAAGGCCAGCCAAGCACCTATGGTCTAAGATCATTTAAACGTTTGAAGTATGCATGACCACATAGAACATTCACAGCGCAACTGACCCACATAGATCAAAGGAATACTCTGCACATATGATGCCATACTCAACAATAAAACTGCATAGATGGCTGGGTGTGCTGTCATTGCTTGTGGACTGGCTGGGCAGCAATTGGCTGGTACTAAGCAATCGTGTGGTGCATCACTTGTGGGACTGGGTTATTTTAGCTGCTGTTGTTGATTTCCTTTCTTATTAAGCTGTCTTTCTAACTTTCACCTTCATGCTTCCCAATTCTCTTTCTCCATCCATTGGGCAAGGAAGAACAAGCAAGCAGCTGTGTGATGCTTTGCTGCTTAGATGCATTGCATTTGAGATGATGACAGATTTTATTGGATTGTGGAGACCAAATAGATGCTAGAGCTGCTCAGCTGCTAGTATGCAGGCCTCCATGCTTGGATGGGGCGCACTTGCCTTACTGTGTATTACAGAGTCCAATAGCTGTTAGTAGCTGCTGCAGGATGCATTGGAAAGCACAGTACCCAGACATGACATAAATGATATGGAATAAGGGGTGCACACTGTCCTCATTTTGGTTGGAGTAGTTTTTTCACAGTAGCTGGTATGGTGCAGTGCTTTACATTTGTAATGAAAACAGTAGTAACAACACAGTGATGTTTCAGTTGTTGCTGAGCAGTACTTACACAGAGTCATGGATTTTATAACAGTTTCTCTCACTGTCCTACTAGGGGGACAACTGGGGGAGCATAAGAAGCTGGAGAGAACACCACCAGTTAAAATATTCTGTACCATATAATGTTATTCTCAACAACAAAACCAGGGGGAACTTGGCCAGGAGAACTGTTGGTGCTCAGGGACTGGCTAGGCATTGGTCAGGTAGTGGTGAACAACTGCACTGTGCATTGCTTGAGTTTATTTGCTTAGTTGCAGGTTGTCTTTTTCCCTCTTTTATTTTTCTTCTTTCTTAGGAAACCGTCTTGATATCAAACCACAAATTTTCTAACTTTTGCCATCCTAATTTCCTTCCCCTTTTCCCCCTGCAGGGGGAGGAGGGAACCAAGCAGCTGTGTAGTTGCTGAACTGCTTACTCAGGTTAAGCCATGACAGTGCCTTTGAATAATTTACAACACCAGATAAATGATCCAGAACAAGTAAATTTATATAAAGATGAAAAAAAATACAGAAGTAGAGATGAGCTCAGATCTGGATGTGCTACAACCTATTACATGAGTAGCACTTTCATGTACAGTCAGAAAGCAAAACAGGATTACAGCTACAGCTATTGGCCCACAGTTTGAAAATCTGAAAAGGTGTTGCAGGTGTTCAAAAAAATCTGAATTGTTGCAGCCTGCTCCATGTGATACAAAGTATTGTGGCCTCAACTTGAGCACAGAGCACTCTTTTAGGTACCACAGTACAAAAAGGGAGATAAAACTATTAGAGAGTATCCAAAAGAGGGTAACCAAAGATAGGGAAAGGTACAGAGTGCAAGACACAGGAGGAACAGCTGAGGTCCCCTGGTTGGTTCAGCACAGAGCAGAGGAGCTGAGGGGAGGCCTCATGGCAGCTGCAGCCCCTCACAGGGAGCGGAGGGGCAGCGCTGAGCTCTGCTCTGTGTGACAGTGACAGGGCCAGAGGGAACGGCATGGGGCTGTGTCAGGAGTGGGTCAAGTTAGATATCAGGAAAAGATTCTTCACTGAGAGGGTGATCAGGGACTGGAACAGGCTCCCTAGGGCAGTGGTCGTGGTACCGAGCCTGCCAGACTTCAAGAAATGTCTGGACAACACCGTCAGATATAGGGTCTGATTTTTTGGATGATCCACTGTGGAGTCAGGAGTTGGAGTTGCTGATCCCTGTGGGTTCCTCCCAACTTGGGATATTCTATGATTCTATGAAACGCAGAGCCATCCATGTATACTAAACTCCATTTGATTGTTCACAGATGATCCTCAGGCTTCATTTTTCCTTATCTCACTGAAGCCAGCATGCAAGTCTGACAAAAAAATATCAGCTGAATTAATGTACTGAAGTGTCTTCAGATTTTAACTCAAATGAACAGGCTTTGCTGAGACAGAATGTCTTTGCCAAACCAGTCATTGCTTTATTGCTTCTTCATAGATTTTTAGTACAGTATAAGAAAAATAAACTGACTTATTATATATACATTTCAAAATTCTATGAAACAGAAAGCACTAAGCAACCTCCAAAAGGTCTCATCCAACTTGAGCTACTCTGTAGAAGAGGTGGATGTAGACCTTGCCTATAGTACACAGAGTAAATATACTTTTTATAGCAGCAGGACCATTCTAAACTAGGGAATACACATGATTATCTCCTCTAACATATTAAAATCTAGTGGAATAGCAGTATCAGCACTGTCATTTATGAATTCAACATTTGTCGTCTTATTAAATATAAATTTGGAAATCTGATCACTGTGAGAATTGTTTCTTTGCAGGAACTATCATACCTTGGCTGACCTCCAACTTAGTAGAACAACCATATGTTTTAGGTGGCCAGGGGAAATAAAGAGCCAAATTGACATATGGAATCTAAGTGCTCTTGAACTGCGATAACTGTTACTGAATAATAATAGTCAGAATTAAATGACTGAAAGTAGCCAGCCTTGTCAGTTTGCTAGAGTCAGTATGGATAATATAAGAATATCTGTGTGAAAGAGATTACGTGCACATCCAACACAAACACCTTTGCATAGAAGATAGTAGTATCTTATTGTCTATCAGTAGATGCTCAGGGCAGATTTCTCCCTCCCCCTCTCCCCACATTCTGCAGTACACATACTTAATGGGTTCTAAAACTAAAATAAAAACTAAAAAAAAAACCAAAAAAACAAAAAAACACACAAACATGGTTCCCCTTCCCCCAAGAAAAGTGAAACAAGTACAGAAGAGGGAAAAAATGTAAAATAAAATCACAGAGGATGAATACCTTTCTCCACAACTCTAAGCCGGATTTCTCCTGGTTTGACAACAATATCAGGTGGGTTCTTGACATCACAAATATAAGTGCCATTGTCCTGGAACTGCATGTTTGATATACTGATAGAAGCATCTTTCTTGTTAAGATCTCCAGCCCAAGTGACTCTGTCTTTAAATGGTATGTCCTTTCCAGTGTACGGCTTTCCATTAGAGTAATAGAAAAACTGTAGTAAAGGAAAAGAACAATTCAATTAGATGTTATGGACACACTATACTTTCTCGCTGTTACAGCATTATCCTAGAATTCACTATATAATACTCAGCTAGTATTACAGATTTTTATGTTTTTCTTTTGTTTTGCCTCCTGCCTCACCACATTAATTTGGCTTGTTGCATCTTAATCATGTAAGAAATGCTATGGCTTATACCTCAATTATACTATCATAATAGACTGCAAGGTTTGGTTTTCTGTTGTTCTTCCTTTCTCCCATTTTTGAGGACATAGGATTTGGTAGACAAAGAGAGCTGAGGAGAAGAGAAAAATATTAGTAAACTGAGGATAATTAAAGTATAGAACTGTTCTGGATCACAGCCATCTGTCTTTCAGGCAAAGGAAACCTTGCTTGACCTAGCAGGAAAAGGATACCAAGTTTCCTATCTTGTGTGTTGCTGTGTGTGACTCACAACCACAGTATAGCTTAATTAACAGACAATACTTTCCTCCCCTCTGTTTCCCAAAGTACTCTCCACTAGCAATTCAGAGTGCATCTAGTTGTGTTCCAGAAACCTTTAAGGTGTTTAAATATAGTCACCTAAAAATCAGAAGACAGCTAAGTCCTTAAAGCAGAATTAAGAAATCCTTTAAGGAGAAACTACACCTTTTCTCATTATACCTGTCTAAATTCATAAGTTACAGCAGTAGCAGAGCTCTAAAGGACAGCGGTCTGCTTTCAGACATATGGGATGTTTAAGCACTGGACATAACCTTAGAGAGTGATCAAGGCTGTAATACAGGAGATTATTCATTCTTTATTTCACATTCCAAAAGAGAATGAAACAATCTTAGCTCGACTAAAACTCATCCTGAGTTCTCTGCAGTTCAGCTTCTGGAGCATGGTTAAAGTAATCTAGGACTATATTCCAACTTCCTCTTTCTACAGCCCTCTTTATAAAGGAGTTCCTGTTCCACAGAAGAAACTGGTTACAAGCCAGTCCTCTTTCCACCCAAGCCACCTCCCATCTTTTTTACCTGTTCCTACCTTGATCTGAAGGTTGTCCATTCTGAAACTAAGAAGATTGATACTACAAACCCTTTTAAAGGGAAATTAAGCAGTACAAATGCAGAAAACAAGCCACTATAATAGTGGTAATTTGGATTACGAGCACTTTCACAGTTCATTTCCAAGTACAAGAGGATACATAATTTTTAAGATTCCCAGATACTCATCTACTTCCTCTATACAGCTATCACCCAAACATACTGCTCCTCTGACTGAAAAGCTACTAGTACCTTTTAGAGCTGCTGCATGCCACGGCCTTTGCCAAAATCTAGCATGTTGCAATGCTCCTAAGCAGCTCTTAAACAACAAAATAAAGCCACACTGAAATCAGAGTGATGGAGACAAGACACATGAAAGAGGGCTCCAATCTATATTTACTGCCTTTAAAACCAAGCAAAAAACCTCTGCATAGTTTCACAGCCTTCCACCCCCGCTAGGTTCCCTACAGCCATTCCTTACTGAGATACGAGTTGCAGCTCCCTCTGGTTGGAAACTCCAAGAAACAGATGCTGCACTGCTGATCACCTCCACGGATGTAAATGTGCATGGAAGCTTTACGTCTGTTTCATTCTCCACAAATATCTCCTCTGGTGTGGTGACTTCTACTGCCGATACTTTGACTGTATATAAAAGATAAAGAGAAGAAAGAAGTAAAACAAGAGGCATCAGTGCTGTTTGAGAGTCAGGAAGTTGCAGTGGTAACTGTTTGTATCACATCACTTTTTAGGGGAAAACTGCGAAGAGACAGCAACAACTCTGCAAGTGTGTGCAGAGACAGTGCATTATACTTACAATACAAGCAAGCATACAGCAGGTCAGTTCACTACTCTTTCCGTGTATTATCTGTTACAGGATGTTTCCCATCCACAGATGTTTCCTCTACAACAGTTTATGGAAATCATTTGTACAGTGCAAAGGATGTGTTTGCACTCTTCTCTACTGGCTGTCAGCAGAGACTGTAATAAGTAAGACCCACTGGAGGAACTAATATCTTGATCCCGGCTATTACTCAGTTTCCTCTCCAGCTCACATCTTGTTTCCTATCTCTTCAGCTTCTCTCAGCTGTAGGCAGAACAAAAGCTCACCTCCACCAAGTTGAGTGGTAAACTTCTCTGGCTCCCAGCTATGCTACCTGATTCTACTCTCTGGCATGCCTCATGGTCTTCATGTTCAAGACTTCAAGAAAAAAAAAAAATCATTCATGTACACTTCACAAGCATGAGAGTAGCTTGATTTCTTTCCATCATGAGGCTTATGTATAGTCAAAGCAGAAAACAGACTACAATCACAAGGTTAATTTCGTGATTGTACCAGCGGTATTCCTCTACATAGTACATGAAATTCTTCAGGATGTGAAAAAAACTTGGTTAATATATCTGGCATAGTTTAAACTGCAAAGACACTGTTCAGATTTAAGAGGAGAGACAGTACAAGCAAGCTTCTGATCATGGGGTTCTTAAGTTTTTAGGCTACAACATCCTATATGGCCTTACTTTCTTACTATGGGTGGAAAGCATGCCTTCCTGTCTGTTCAGTATCTTGATTTATTAACTTGAATAAACTAGTTCTCAAAGTAGCCAACTGGAAATGAAGACCACAGTTGAAGACAGATTTTAAAAACAAAAACCAGGACACCCACATTAGTCCTTAAATGATGGGTTTTATGCTTTTAGTCAACGACAGCTACCAGTTCAGTAACCTTTGGGAGTTTGATAGCAAGCTTCTTTCAAGCAATACAATCATCCTAAGGAGGTACCTATTGTAATAAACTGGGTTGTTTATAATCAGGGCTTAAAACTAAGCTAAGCCTATACCCCATTGAGAGATTTTAGAAACCAGCTTTTACACATGAAACTGTGAGCCTTGTTTGCCAAGGAACAAAGCCTGCACCCTCCCTCACCCCATGACTAATGGGCAAGTCCATCTGACCGACTGCAGAAAAGGGCCACAAGCACAGCAGGTAATGGCAGCTGGCCCTGCATGGCAGACCATATGCAGGCTCTGGAAGTGGTCATTCAATCTGTGAAATCACTGAACAATGAAGGAGATGAAAACACCCTGGCCAGCTGGGTAAACCAAGCAATCAGTACGTGCAAGGCTTTGTAAGGAACTGCTGTCTCTCACTCAACTGGCACTGCAAACAAGGGTGAGGCACAGCACATGCCCAGGCGACATGGAATGAGCATGTAAGCACTGCAAGGGTGGAAGAATTAAGCGTGCCAGTTTAATTACAATAACCAAAACCAGAAGAAGCTACCATTCATTTACACTGCTATTCAAAGGCCATGCTGTTCACTCCTCAGATTCACTCTCTTCAGTCCCATCAGGTTATCCCTGATTCTTCTGACTACCCTGTCACCATTGCTCTCATTTCAAACAAGTGAAAGAGAAACAGCACCCTAAGGGAGGGGAATTTTCATCAAGAGCTTCTTTTTCTCTTGTACGTATTCTGTGAGCCAAAAAATATTCTTTTGTAAAATAATTACCAAATATTTGTTTGGAACATACAAAGGCTTCTAGCAATTCAATTAAATGAACTCAGAGCTGCTGTGCTTTATGTATTTTTTCCAGCTAATGGAGTGGAGAAGAAAAAAAATAATCCATTGTTTTGAGTCCAAGCCACAGAACAAGTCTTCCTTTCAAGCGTAAAACAAGCAAGATGCCCTCAGCATTTATGTAGGAGGACAAATAGTCTGCACAGACATTGTCTGCTTGTACGTGGTACAGAGAACTCCTTGCCACAAAGAGGGAGTGGGAAGCACAGATCAGCTTCTAAAGAAATCCCTGTTCTAACTTAGTAACAACACGTGAGAGAAATGTAGTAAAGAAATCCAACTTCTTCCTACAGTCAGAAAGGCAGGAACAACGTAATAACTTGAAAACTAAACTGTCTGTAAAATGCCTGTACACTTTCTACCCGTTGTCTTAGCTTCACAACTTTCTTTGCTCATTCTCTCCCTTCCCCCAGCATAGAATCGTAGAATCACTCAGGTTGGAAAAGACCTTAAAGATCACCAAGTCTAACCACAACCCAACCATACTACCCTAACCCTAACAACCCTCTGCTAAATCATGTCCCTGAGCACCACATCCAAAGGGTTTTTAAACACATCCAGGGATGGTGACTCAACCACCTCCCTGGGGAGCCTATTTCAGTGTTTAACAACCCTTGCTGTAAAGAAGTGTTTCCTGTTATCCAAACTAAACTTACCCCGGCACAACTTGAGGCCATTTCCCCTCACCCTGTCATCAGTGAGAAGAGACCAACCCCACTCTTGCTATAAGCACCTTTCAGATGTGGGAAGAGAGCAATAAGGTCTCCCCTCAGCCTCCTCTTCCCCAGACTAAACAGCCCCAGTTCCTTCAGTCTCTCCTCATAGGGCACATTCTCCGAGCCCCTCACAAGCCTTGTTGCCCTTCTTTGGACCTGCTCCAGAACCTCAGTGTCATTTCTGTACTGGAGTGCCCAAAAATGAATAAATAAAAAGGTCACTCATTATTTGCTCCTTCAGCACACTAGAACATTGTTTTCCTCCCTTCTGCTGTCTTATAGCAGGAGACATGACAACTCTGAAGTAGTAGAAAGGCCACAGTGTTTGATATTTGTTCACCCTTAGCCCTCCACTCATACTTTTGGGTATACAGTAGCAGTTTGGGCATATACAGTAGCAGTTCCCACCTCCTTGAACTCCTTCATCTCCTCTACCATAAAACCACATAGATAATCTCCATCCCTAGATCCTCACCTTCTCTTTCCAGTTTGACCAGACTGACATACCTTTTCCATATCTGTTATCTATTTAAATACTTCAGTTGGAGAGAGTTGGATTTGGAGTCATATTCCAATCACATTTATCTACTGGTCCACTCCTCATGCTTTCTGAGCCTTAATTCTATTTACGAAGAAAAAAAAAATTTCAGGACACCATCAGAGAGAGCACAGCCTGAGGAATGGAAGCTCTGCTAGCCAAGTAGGGCTTCTTATTGCTCCCAAATTGGACCTTCATCCTGCATCAAGGCTCTCTATTTTCACATCTCTTCCCTCGGTAGCTTGCCTCTGGATCTCACTGCAGAACATGTTCAATTGCCATCACTGCACTAACTACTCAGACCTTCTCTGCTCAGGGTCTGTCTTTTCTCTTCAAAGAAGAATCTCAGTCCGACATCTTTGTCAATGCTAAGCTGTCAGTTCACACTACATGGAACTAAAGCACAGCACATTTCTTCCCCCAGAGCCTTCTACCACTGCATTTATCACCATGGACCAGTGCCACATGCCTCTCTGACTCAACCCGAGCAGTGTTTTTTCACTTTTCCTCAGTTAGAGGATATAGCTGAAACTTCCCAAGTCTTTCAGAGTTTCCAGCCACCTGCACAGCTGACAGTAGTCCAAGAACTCCACTTTGTACAATAACAAAGAGCAAGATACATTTTGCACTGGATTTGAGGAGTACTTCTGGGCTTCTGTCAATAGATACTGTGATTCTTTTCTAAAACTTACTTCAATTGCAAGCTTATCTACATCTTTCTGCCTTTACATTTTTACAAAAATATAAACCATCTGCTTCTCACAGGAAGAATCTCATGCCCTATTTCCTAGCAGTTCTTATTCAGGATAGGATCAACAACATCTGCATCAGCTAACTGGTAGGTAGCTTTTGCCTCTGGCCACTGAATCCCCAGAACTACAAAAAGGAAGGAAGGATCCTGACTGGCTTCTTCTCCACAGAATGGATACATTTACTGTGTATCAGAGCTTAAAAGCTGAACACTCAGCTACCACAGCAGGATGTTACTACTGATGTCTTTCCTGTGCTTAGAGCATGAGCTGAGGTTACCATAAGGAGCAATCATTGCACATGTTCTCCAAACACTACCCTCAGCACCAACCTGATATCCAGGCAACAAGAACTCCTAAGGCATTGCTTCTATCTAGTGACTAAATGACCTCACTGTAAAATAAAAGACAGGAAAAAGGAGGGGAAAAAAATAAAAAAGAAAAAGCTATGCCATTGGTAAAATAGAAGCACGGCATCTGGCAGACATGAATCAGTCAATACATGGCAAGGGCAGCTGGAAAGTCACATTACCAAGCACAACATCCCAAATGCTATTTTGTTCTACTGAAAAAGACAAGCACTAATATCATTACGGGGAACTGAATACTAACTGCTCCAAGGGTAACATTAGGAAGATATCACATATGCAAGATCACAATTTTCTGCTACAAATTGATGGCAGGAGATGCAGAACTTGCCATACACATGCCAGAACAAACATAACTCTGCTATAGAGCATCTCCATCTGACCAACTTTAATGATTACGTATTGTTTCACTTTACTTGCTGTGAACGAACAAGACCTTCCTAACTCTGAAGGTACAGTTCTACAGCAGCTAAAGCAGATCCAAAGACTTAGAGCTTCTAGGTTCCATTGTTATAACACCACAGCATGTTTGCCACAGGATGTACAAAGCTAGGGAAAAAGTTGCATGTTTTCAGCTATTTCAGTCCTGATTCAGAACACAAACCCCTGGCATGCATATATCAGCACTGACATTATTACGAGTGGAGCGACGTATTGCTCTGAAACCACCTCCATGAAGGAATCCTTTACACTT